AGAAGGGGGGGGGGGTTGAAAGAAAGAAATTTGTTCTGATATTTTCGAGAATTAGTCGGTATAAATAGCGGTTCTTTCGGATTTATGCTTTACTTTTAGCTTCTGTTTTCGGTGTTCGATTTTATTCGTCGCCGACTAATAGTGACATCGCTTGTCTGGTTTTAGTTATCAAAACACGTCGTAAAATCTGTAGTTTTAGGTATAATATGAAAGATTATTATATAAATAAACTAAATAACCTCAAAATAGTGCATATGTCTGTATGATATGACAGAATAATTAGAGTGCTACAAGTAATAAAAATATGCGTATGTTTATATTACAAGCACCGTAAAGATATCAACTTCCGGATCATCTAATGTTCGATGTTGGCGACAGCAGGTGCTAGAAAAGTGTCAACACAGGATAATGTCTTCGTTCACAGATTCCAGTTTAGTGAAGAAGTTTGGAGAGCTTAATAACACACAGCAAAGTATCCAGACATTAGCACTTTGGTTGATACATCACAGGAAACACTCTAAGACTATTGTACAGACATGGTACAGAGAGCTTGAGAAAGGTAACCAAGTTGCAAGTAGAATAACGGCTGAATGGACGAAAATGAAAGTAGAGATATATCTAGAGAGAGAGAGAGAGAGAGAGAGAGAGAGAGAGAGAGCTCAGCTAGACAGTCTTGATCTAGATATCTAGATCTAGTCTAGATCAGTGTTTTTTTAGTTTTAGTAACACAGATTCTGCACTGAAAGCATTTGGATCCAGGCTAGAATTTCGACTATCCTAGGCTAGATCTAGATCTATATAGTAGAGTCTAGTCTAGTCTATGGACCATAGTGGCAAACACTGTAAGGAAATTCCCAGAAAATTGGTCAGTAGGTTTGAGGCGGGTGAAAAAAAGAGGGCCATGAGGAGGCCGACTCTAGATCTATTTCTCCGAACGTTCGGGAAAATAAACTTGAACTCTATTTCTCCTAACGGTTTCCGTTCTCGAGATTTGTTGATAATAATCAAATGGAGTGGCCTGTGTGTGTGTGTGTGTTTGTTTGTGTGTCAGTGTGTGTGTAAGGTGTGAATGTGGGGGGGGGGGGGGCATGGAGGGATTGCCTCAACCGCAACTGAAGTATCTGAATATTCAGACATTTAAAAATCTCTAGCTCTAGAAATTGAATTCAATGCAAAAAATGCTTCGTCCCTGTCCTCGCAGAACGGCACAATGAAAGGATGAAGCCTAAATCTCGCAAATAACCATAAAATCTCGAGATCGGAAACTGTTCGGAGAAATAGAATTCAACTTTATTTTTCCGAACGTTCGGAGAAATAGTCACTTTGAAAGAAGGGTTCAATAAAAATAGAAAGTAGATCGGCAGAAGGGTGCATTTATAATAAAATCGAGCCCACACAACCACTGAGTCAGGTCGTGGTTAGAGAAATTTGTCCTTTAGATCCAGATCTAAATATTATTGAAACTGAGCAAAATTATGTAAATTAGACAGTGAAAGTTGGATGTGTTTATATGTATGTTGAAGAGATATGACTGATATTTCAGTGACAGTGCCTCTATCTGAGCCTGCCTGTTGAACATCATTGACATTTGGTTATTTACACAGCTCTGCCTCACTGACATTGTGCACGCTGAGAAATGCTATATATGTTCACCTTCAGTTTCCATTTGTTGGTTCATAAGCTTTTTTTTAGTCTCAGCGGTTGATTTTCATAGCCATTTCTACTGCCTTGATTGGCTGTGTTCTACTGTGGTCATAATCATAACAATTAACCATGTCCGCGGCTTTTGGGGGTGAATTTGCTTTTTTAAAAACTAGACTATTAACTGATTCTGTCCATGATTTTTTCAGGCTCTGGACAGAATTATTTTTCCCTGTTCAGTTTTAGACCTGGGGTGCATCCATTTAATGCATTACTGTGAAGCTTTAAGTTACTCTAATAGGTATTGTATTGTCATACCAAACTGATGGTACTAAACAGAAGAATCTGTTTATATCAATAACAATGACCTATAATCTGTTTGTATTGCATGTTGCTTCTGACAAAAAGGAATGAGAAAGAAATATTGAGCAACAGCTCTTCGAAAATTTCGACTTACCGCATTTTCTCAGCTCTACAAGTCCTTATAATCCATAGGAATCAACACAAAATTGTAACGACATTTATGCAAGAATTTCAGAAATTTAGTTGAATATCTTTCTTTGAAGAGCCTTTTTAATTATACCAGGCTCCGTGTTGTTTACTCTTAGATCTAGCCTACATCTCAACAACAAAACAACGATTTTTGCAAGAATTTCAGGGAGTTTCGATCGATATTGGCGCTCAGAGATTGAGGTCAGGTTTGTTTATAAGTTCCTCTTCCTTTCGACAACTTAAAAAGTAAGAACTATGTTAAAAAGTGCACATTTGTTTCGGATTTCGTTGAGCCGCTCACAGCGGCCGAATGGAGGCAGCGCAAAAACTCAGAGCCGCTGTCAGCGGCCGAATGGACAGAATCAGTTAATAATAATAACCCTCATTTTGTAATGGTCTTATTATTTTTATTATAATATCTTGCTCAAAACAATGAATGCTTATGGCGCTCATGACCTTATGCAGTTGCGAGCGCCATAAAACCCGTACTAAAACAAAACAAACTATGAATTCTTACAAAATTACTTCTTCTGGAATTTTTTTATGACTCTTATTGATTCTTTTTTCAGGTTTTGCCATGTGAAGTAATTAGTAATTTTCATTCTGTTTTTCTCCAGCAAAACCAAGCAAGCGTTTGACATTCATCTACCTAGCCAATGATGTTATTCAGAATAGCAAGAAAAAGGGACCAGAATTTAGTAAGGACTTTGGCCACATTCTGCCTGATGCCTTTACTCAGGCCTCCAAGTAAGTTTGTAGTGTCCTCTCTGGGATGTGGGTTTTTTTGCTTTGATTTCTGTTTTTTTAATGAAAATATATTCCAGTGGTTCATGGAAATGCTAAAGAACTCAAAAGTAAATCCTGAATTGTGAATGGTTGAAATGAAACTCTGACATTGAGAATACATGATGCAGAGTTCGGATTTTATAAATACTGTCCTTGATAGGTTAAATAGAGCCGAATCTGATAGTTATGATGTCCTTTTTTGTAACCACACTACTTACAACATTCTATTATTGAAGTTAATGAGAAGGAAATTTCTGCTGCTGTTGTAGTTGTTACGGAGTTGGTGTGAAGAAAGGCACATGGTGTTGGTAGTTTTGCTGTGTTACAGAGAGTAAGTACTGCTGTTTTGTTTGCTACATAGTATTAACAAATTTTCAGGGTATAATTTTCGTATGGAAATTCATTTATTTGATTCTCAATTTTTTTCGTCAAAATTTCAGTGCAAGTCCTGTGGTCATAGAGGCTGTGAGAGCACTGAATGTTTTCTGGCCTATATTGTCACTGAGGCCAGTATTTCTTCTTTTCACTTTTGTCTCGGAGATACAAATTTGTTTTCTTTTACTGCAGGGATGCTGATGAGAAAATGAAGGCCTCGTTACAGCGTGTGATATCCATCTGGAAAGAGCGGGGAGTCTATGAGAAGTCTTTCATCAAACAGCTGAAGCGCTGTTCTGGTGGCTGTAAGTTGTGCTCGTTCTCCGTTTCTCCCTGTGTTCCGAGCGGTTGATGAGTTAGTTTCTTCTCTCCAACCATTGCTGTCTAGCTACTGTGAGGGGTGTTCATTAAGTCTTTACCTGACACAAAAGAAATGATTGTTTGTACAACAGTGATTCTAGAAGGAATGTGATTATTTATTTTTTTCTGGAATGCTGCGTGTGGGTTTTCGGGAAAAACCCAAAGAACTGTGTGGACTTGAGTACTTTTAGTGCACGTGGTTTCTGAAGACACCAAAAGAGAACACCATTTTCAATGGAAGCAATGTCTACAATAGAATATTTGAATGCTGCTCTGTAATCAAATTTTTTTTTAATTTGCAAGAAAAATCACCCAAGACGATTTTTTTAAGGGAGGTTAATTGTTGCCTTGTGGACCGCCCTTTTCTTAAAACTTAAATATTTGACAAGGACAGAGTGAAAGATGCAAACTTCAAAAGGAAAGGTTTTATGCTGTCTAGTTCTTTAGGACAGTGAGGGCGTCATCATGAGAGAGTGCTCAGAAAATGGCCACACTGTCACTGGGGACTATTATTCGGTGTTGATGAAACTACAATTTACCTTGGCCACAACAACAAAACTCAGATGCAAAGCATTGTGGCTGTGAAATTCTCCCACACCCACTCTATTCACGGATATAGCTATAGCACCATCGTGCCAGAACTCGTCTGCTGGGACATACCAGTAACCCACTTTCAGCACTTTTCAAGGACCCCCGGGCAAGTGTTCAGTTCCTGCGTGCTGTCGGCATCGCTGACCGTTTATGATGCCTCAGCGCCAGAAGAAAGAGAGAGATTGAAAGATATAGCACCCTATAACCTTTTTTTCCTTACCCGAACCTGAATAAAATTCTCATAGGACAGCATTTCCATCGTAATGTAAAGGCTGTATCTGCAGTGGAGGAATGATCTTGAGTCCCATTTGAGGTCATATATGCTCAAGGACTTTAGAAGGTCGAACAAAGGTGGCAAAAATGTGCCTATTTGCAGGGTGACTTTGTAGAGATGTAGCTTTGTGAGTGTCAAATTTCCGTTTTCTAGCTTGCTTCTTCCATAGTCAGGCTAAAGACTTGTTGAACGCTCTTCGTATTTAGAATTGTGACCCATATTTGCCACTCGTTTTACCTGTTTGCAGAGTTTTACTTTACCCTGAAGCTCTGCCAGGGAATAGAATCATTAGGATTGTCCAGTCTGATTTTAAGTCTCACCCTTGACTATTTTCTTGGTAGAAAAAGTAAAGTTTAGCCTGTTGAATAAAATTTATAAACTTAAGCTCATGTTTTGAATGACATTATGTGGTTTAGAAACTTTTTTTATCTGATTTTGAGAAAAACATACGGTTTCACTTATTTTCAATATAAATATGCTCTTTTTCTGATTTTTTTGCTACCAGAGGTTTAACTAATTTTCAATACAGTAGTCTCCGCCTAAGATCCCACCGCTTACGATCCCGGTTCGCTTAAGATCCCGTTGTTTTAAGAAAACAGAATTTTTACTATACAAAAGTCACTCCTAAGATCCCGCTCTGATGGTCTACATTCGGCTAAGATCCCGCATTTCAGATCATAATTTGCGAAACAAAAACCCGGGCGGGCACAGCCGATCAACCAATTGTGAAAAGTTGAGATCAATAAACTGTCCGTTGCATCAAAGATCAGCCACTATCGTAAATGTGATCCCACACACGTTGTAAAACTCGATGAAGCGATACAATGTCTGCCCCGAGGACGGGATCACACCGGGGTGTGATCTGACCGACGCGTTTGTTTTCCCCACGCATCGCACTTTCACCTGAGCTCTCCCCCTAAATTTGCATCACTCGCTGGGTGGGTAGGGCCTACACGTTCACTCCAGGCGGGATCACATCGTACCGTGAACTCTTCCCTGACCATTGCAGCAGTTGTCTCTACTCCCGAATTTGCGAGACAGACTGAATTTTAATTGGTGTGTTCACAACGTAATGGTGTGTAACGACAAAGGCGGTTTTTTTGTTTGGGGGAGGGGGGGGGGGGGGGTCGGTCAGAGATGTGGTAAAGGGGAGGGGCAACTGGATAAGCGTAGATCTTGAGACTCATGATAGGATAATAAGTGAAAATGGCACGCCTCGTCCCACTATGCACTGTGATAGGTCATCAAGGTTAACCACTCTATGCCCGCCATACGCCATAAACCCACCAGGGGGGCACGTCAGTTCATTGTAGAGGGAAGGGAGACCATTTTACCGATTGTGAGCCTTAACATGGGTCACCATAGATTCTTCCCTGGGTTCGTCGGTTAAGATCCCGGTTCGCCTAAGATCCCGCATTTCCTTGCTCCCGAGCACCGGGATCTTAGACGGAGACTACTGTATAAATATGCACTTAGTTTATTTTATACTTTCTACAGCTCTTGTTCACCATGTTTTACCACATCTTTTATTGACTGTATAGACTTAAAAAGTAACTCCCTTAGCCTACTCCTTGCTGAGTGCTGTTTCCTCTGTTTGCACCCTGGGAGACATATAGCACAGTAGCTTAGTGGCGTAGGTGGTCTAGTGGTTAGGCTACCGGACGCGTAATCGTGAGGTTGCGGGTTCGGGGGTTCGAGCCGCGGGCCCGACGTTGTGTCCTTGGGAAAGGCACTTTCACAAATTTTCCCCACTTCACCCAGGTGAGAATGGGAACCGGGCTATAGACAGTGAAAGATCTTGTCAGTTTGTTAATGTTTGAACGCTTTACCAGCTGCTTGCACTGTATGCTTCCCAGGAAGCTGAGAATGTTTCTGAGTGTTCTATGGTCTGCTAGGGTAATAATATAGTGCAAAGCGCGTAGAGCTTGCTTTCGAGTGGGGACATGCGCTATACAAATGTTATTTATTATTATTATAAGAGAGAGAACAGAGTCACCAGTATTCTTCTCCTCTCCTCAGCTCACGGTGCCTCCACTCCTCCAGCCCCGTCAACAACTCACCCCGACACACCCAAACCACCGGTGAAGAGGCAGACGTCAGAGACAACTGTTGTCAAAGCTGGTGAGTGAGGAGGGAATATTTGAGACAGCTTGGTGAAATCAGGCACTCGTCAAAATAATGAAAGTGAAGGAACTGGCATTTTTTCGAAGGTTTGGGAATTTTTTGTCGAATTTTATTTTTTGGCTGAACACCTTTCATGGCCTCTGAAGAACACATTTATTTGTGGATTTTACTGAAAAGTGTTGATTTAAGGCATAAAAGATGTAAATCTTCAGTCTCCAGGGATTCTCAAGCTGAGGAAATTACTCAACTTTGGCGGACATTTTCTCGCTAACTTTACCTCTGAAACCAGGCGACTCCCATCTCCTTCAATCGCCAATACCTTGACTTGTATCTAAGATAAATAGGTAAAATTATTTTTGTGAGCAACACATATATATGGCTTTAAGATAATACCAATAACTCAATATGCCTAAAATTGATGAGTGCCTGATTCCACCGCGTCGTGACACATATAAATACCGGCAAGGCGAGCTTTTTGTCCTGCTTGATCAAGCACATCTTGTGAGGCATGCTAAAGAGTTTACTTTTAAATCTTTCTAATAATTCTTGTTTGTATTTCAGCTTTCCTTTTCTGTCTCTGATAAAATACGACCGTTATCTGTTACTCTGCAGGCTCACTGAGAATTTCGAGTAAACTGAATGCCTTTCTGTCTTTTAAGTTTTTTTCTTTAATGAAATAAAGAGACGTGTAATTTTGTTTTGCGTTTTGTAAGAATAATTTAAGAACAGAATGTTTCATTTATGATGGGAAAGCTATAGATATATAATATTTTGGTTCAAATTAGTTTTACCAGTCCTTTTTCTTGAAAGTTATCCTAGGTAGCACAGTTGCATTCTGTTCGTTTATGTTATAATATTTGGTTGCTTTAAAGCACAAAGGGGCTATCCCGAAAAATGCTATTTTTCTAGAAAATCAAAGGTAAATTTTTGCCCCTCGTTCTGTTTCTTTAAAAGACAAGGAGAGTTTTCTCTATAACCAAACAAATATACACCAATGAAACCAAACTTCTGCTATGCGTAGGGCAATGCCCACTTTTGGTGTGGGTCAAGATTTCTGGAAACCCCCGAAATTTGGATTAGCCCGCTTGTCCTTAAAAGCGACCATTTATAACTGTTACAATGACAGTCATAAAATTTCAGTGTTTTTCACAACTTATGAGATTTGTTTTTAATAAAGAAAAAAATGCTACGAAACATTGTGGCTACAAATTCCACTGATTGTATGGACTTTTGAGAAGGCAAATTTCTCTTACATTTCATTTCTTTGGTTCACATGTGCTTCTCCACCACAATTTTTAGGACTTTATAAAAAAAACAACTCCCAAGCATTGCAAATATTTTCAACCGATAGAATCTGTACTCATGGATTCCTGACTGTCCTTTCCTTTCTTTAGTTTTCGTTGTTATGACTGGGCTTGCTCAAGCATTGGAGGTGCCACACTCTTTTTCTAGCCTTCAATGAAGCATTTTGGCTTACAAGTTGACTCATGAATTCCTCAGGACAGTAGTTTGGGGAGAGGTTTTCGTTAATTTTTTTTTTTTAATTAAAAAATTTTGTATTTAGTTCAAGTTAAGTGTATAGATCTCGTTTCTTTTTAGAAATATGCAATGAACTTGCCTTTTCGATTGTTTTGTATGAGTATAAAGCTGCTGCAAGATTTTTCTTTGTCTATATCAGTTGTTATCTTTTATTTCTTGTATTTCTTTTTCTAGAACCAAAAAAGGTGAAGAAGAGTGAACCTGAGTTTTCCTTGAGGCAGGAGGTGGAGGCAATGGGTCAGCAGCTTCCTGAAAATGTGGACGTGAGTTTGACAAATGCTTTTTTCTACAGTCGAACATGCTCTAACAGCCACCTGTTTAAGACAGTCACCTGTGCAAACAAACACTTTCTATTCCCCCCTTGCATGTTTTTTTTAAACATTAAAATGGCAATGTGTAAGACGTCCACCTGTCTAAGACAGCTACTTTTGTCCTCGACAGTATGTGGTTGTCTTTACCCTATCTGTACGCCCTAGGGTCATTTTTTACCCCCGGGGTTGTATTCTTCTCATTTTAGAATACTTTCAGTATGAAGATCTCTTTGAAAATTTCAGAATTTCTCAAAAAATCATTTTGACAGACTGCTGTGCGAAGCGTACGGATAGGAGTAACGAGTAAATTTCCTCTTTGAAAGTGATGGCACAGAGTTCCCCACGTCGTATGGATACGATAGTAAAACTCGATGTACGGATAGGGTTAAACAATTTATTTCAGCTGTATATGTTTTGGTTAAGCCATCAGAGGTAGGCCCTTTCTGAGTGCATACTTGCCCAGTCCGTGAGGGTTACACAGTGCTGTCAGCACACTGCAAATGTAACGTCCTATGCTGCACTGATAATGTTTCTTTTGTTATAGATTTCCACACCCCTCAGTCAATAGAGTCCTTCTCACGAAAGGAGGCCCAGTCAGTGAGCCAGTGAAATGAGTTGTAAAAATTTTTGATCGTCTCCTCATTGCCTCACTATCATGCTTTCTCTGACTCTTAACCATTCATTTATCCCCCCCCCCCCCCCCCCCCCCCCCTTGGGCTTTGGGTGTCATCCCATTCGAGCACTAACATTGTATTTTCAGAGATCATGGACTCTAACAAAAAATCAAATTTTGCATCCCATGTTTTCTACATTCATCTGCTTAGCTTTTTTTTCTATAAAATCTGATGCTCTCATTTTCTGGTCCCCTTGTTTGTTTTATGTTAGTAAGAGTTTTACGGTGCTCACAACTGCATAAGGTCATATGAGCGCGCCAAAAAAAAGGTTAGCTATCTATTCAGTTCAGGTCCATTTCAACCCAACAAATGGAGAAAAACTACCAATCTCTTTTCATACACAATATCAGCAACTGCTCCTTCAGCATTACTCTTCCTATACCAAGGGGTTTTCCCCACCTGGACTGCACCTTTTCCATTACCTACATTCTGATTCTGCCAACCCTCTCACAAATTAAAGATTTTGGGTGGGTGGTTGGCAGGTGCTCTGGTGTGGTTTGCTTCTTCTTTCCTTTCAAACATCTATCGTCCTTATCTCCTCTTCTTCTTTTCTATGTTTGTTACTCTCTTGTAACACCTCTAATCTCCTGGCGCTCATATGACCTTATGCAGTTGCGAACGCCGTAAAACCTCTACTGAAACTAAAAAGATTTTGGGTTCAATTTTCAATATTGGCCACATACATTATATATATATATGAAAATAAAGAGGAACTTATAACTTTTCTCCACATGTTGCTAAAAACGATAATTCTTCAACCTGAGATTTCCGCTTCAATTATTGAATAATTAGGACTGGTTTTAAAGCAGAAAGTGGAGAGCCGTGAAACTTGGCTCGCGGTTCACTCAGCCTTTAGAGTCACATGAGCTGTGGAACACAGCTCGCAGTAGTGAAAGAGTTAATAAATTTGAAATTGTCACTATAAAAGTTTTTTTTTTTTTTACTGTAAATTAGTTGATCTGTAGAGATATGCTTGTGTAAGAATGGATTTTGAATGATGATTAATGATCTTATTCTTATGCATTTATTGACCTTGTGAATTTGAGTAAGTGAATATGATTTTATGATATGGAAAAAAAGACAGAGAGGATTCTGAAACTGATATTTATTTCTAACTGTTTCGTTATACTTCGTTTTAGTACGCGGTTATACTTCTTTTAGTTGTTTTTTTTTTCAAAATTTTGTTTTCCACTGGAATTCCCAGGCTGAAGACCTTGTTCAGCGTCTGTCTGACCTTGAGAACTCTGCCTCATGTGACGCGTCAGTCAGAGAGAGGATTGCCGCACTGCCCCCGGAGGTCTCTGACATCACTCATCTCGACAAAACACAAGGTGTGTGTGTGTGTGTGGATGTGTGTGTTGTGTGTGTGTGTGTGAGTGAGTGTGTGTGTGTGTGTTCATGTGTGTGTGTTTTCGTGTGTGTGTGTGTGTGTGTGTGTGAGTGAGTGAGTGTGTGTGTGAGTGAGTGTGTGTGTCTGTGTGTGTTCATTCGTGTGTGTGTGTGTGTGTTCATGCATGCATGTATGTGTGTTTGTGTGTATGTGTCTTCATTCGTGTGTGTGTGTGCTCTCTTTGTCTGTGGATCAAATGTCACAACTGAAAAAAGGATCAAAGTCAGAAACTCAGTTTTAGAATTGTCCCCTTTAGTTTATGCCTCACTTTTGTTATATTTCTCTAGAAAACTGTCAGACCCACTTATATAACCCTAGATCAGGATAAGTTCAATAAGCGTAACTTGAAAACATTGATTTTAAAAAGTTACCTTAATGTTGTCATTGCAAATCTTGCTTAACTCTTTATCTCCGAGGGGGGTAAACTCACCCTCTCGGGGCCCTTTTTTGGAGCTAAATCTAAAAATGATAAAAATGTCATTAAATGGGTCATTAAATCGAAACCATTAAACCCATTTTAACACTTTTCCATCAATCGTGTATTCGTCAAATCTGCGTATTATTGCGCCAACATCACGATGTAAAAAGCCAAAACAACTTATCACTTTTTAAAAATCTAATTGACAGATCGGGAAAAACCTATTCAGACTCAATTGATGGAAAAGTGTTAATAGTTCTTCATCTAATGAATGAACTTCCGGTAAAAGAGACCTGAATTGCCAAAAAGTAATTTGATGGCGAATTGCCGAAAAGTATGATGGCGATGTCGTCGTATAGGAATGTGCCTGAGCAACTGTCAGCGACTCACCGGCACAGCTGTTCCGATAGTGTGCCGCTGGGAGCGGCTTGCCGGAGATAAAGAGTTGAGCTACACACTAAAATCTTGTCGGTCAGAGTAAAATGGAGAGTTTCACTGGTTCTTCTTTTTTTACTCCATCAGTGGTTTCTCTTTTTCTTTGTCTTTCTCAGCACTAAAAGACCTTTATTGTGTCGCTGTGGTTTTCTTTACTCAAACTAATTTGAGTCTTGTTTTTAGTAATTATTGTTTTGTTTTGTTTTTGTTCTTATTTTAAAATTAATTAATTAATTTCTTTGGGTGTACTTTGATCCACCGTTCTCTTGTTTACAAACAGATCGGGAGTGGGTGGTAAGCAGGTGCTCTGGTGTGGTTTGGTCCTTCTTTCCTATCAAACATCTATCGTCCTGATCTCTCCTTCTTTTTTTATGTTTGTTACTCTCTTGTAACACCTCTAATCTTCTGCACTTATATGACCTTATTGTGTTGCAAGTACCGTAAAACTCTTAATCATTAATCAATTTAAAACAAAGTTGAAGACAATGTTTTTCAGAAAAGTATATTTATAATGCTGTAATTGTATATCTGAAATATCTGTCTGTGTTTTTTTGTTTTGTTTTGTTTGTTTTTTTGTTGAAGTTTATGCATGTCGTTGTGGTACTGAGCTTTAGAGCTTTTGTGTGTGTGTGTGTGTGTGTATGTGTGTTTTGTAAGTGCCACCGAGCACTTTTTGTGGATTCTGTTGCGTTATAAATTCATTTATTATTATTTATATTATTGATACTACTTAACTGAAAAACAGATCGGGAATCTGCTGAAAAGTTGTCAGATAAAGTAGACGAGGCAGCATTGCTGCTGAACGACTACAACCGACGCTTGGTGGCCGAGCTGGAAGAAAGGAAAAAGGCTGCACGCATGCTGCGCTCGTTTATCTTGTCACAACAGGAGCATATTAAAGTTACTGAGAAGAATCTGCAGGTCAGTTTTTGTTAGTTTATTGTTGTTGTTTTATACGTTTTGCCTCTTTGTATTCTTTTATTTAATCATGATGTGTCATATAACATTAATCACATTATGCAGTTGCGAGCGCCGTAAAACCCTCTACTACAAAAAAAAATTTTTTAAATTATATTAGTTGGTGGTTGGCGGGTGCTCTGGTGTGGTTTGCTTCTTCTTTTCTATCAAACATCTATCGTCCTGATCTCTCCTCCTTCTTTTTTATGTTTGTTACACTCTTGTAACACCTCTAATCTTCGGCAACTATATGACCTTATTGTGTCGCTAGTGCCGTAAAACTCTTACTAAAACTGTAAGTAGATCATATTAGGGGGGAGAGGTGTAAAAGTTGATAAGGGAAATGTGATAGTGTCGATTTTTAGTCCCTTTTTTTTCGCAGTTGATAGAGGCTGTTAGAGAATTGCTTATATTTTATTCTTTAAAGAATGCCTATGATAAAATAAATGTATGTTCTTTGAACAAATCTCCTGAATTCTCCCAAAACATTTCCTTCTTCTCTTCAGCATAACTTTCTGTTTTTCATAGTGTTTGTCACAAATGCTGTCAACTTTGATTTTTTTAAAAATCCCCTCTCTTTTAACTAAATTTTTTTTCACCCCCTCTCTTTTAAATTTTTTACCATGAGTCAGTCAGTCAGTTGGTCCTCTGGACCTTGAACCCTAAGGCTGCTAGGCCAGTTCAGAGTGAAAAACGTTCTACTCTTCCCTCACTATTTGTCCGTGGGTGGTTGGCGGGTGCTCTGGTGTGGTTTGCTTCTTCTTTCCTATCAAACGTCTGTTGTCCTTATCTCCCCTTCTTCTTTTTTATGTTTGTTACTCTTTTGTAACACCTCTAATCTTCTGGCACTCATATGACCTTATTGTGTTGCAGTACCGTAAAACTCTTATTTAAACTAAAATAAGTTTCTCTGAGAGTAAATGTCCTGACCCCTATTTTCTCTCCCTTCCCCCCCCCCCCCCCCCCCCCCCCCCCGGTGGTCCAGGATTACAAAGACAAGCTGGATAAAGTGACCAGTGTCCGCCAGGAGCTCTTGTCCCACATCCAGAAGTTGCCAGACTTGACTCTCCTCCCTGACGTCACGGGCGGGCTGGCTCCTCTCCCGTCTGCCGGCGACCTCTTTTCCATGCCGACCTTATGACCTTGTAACTGGTTGTGTCTGTGTTGGTCTGGTGGTGCTTGAGTGAGTCACGTGTAGCGTTGTGTTGAAGGAATGAATGTTGTGAGGGCGGAGAGCAATGTGTATGTGGATATGTATATGGCTGAGCGTTATGTTGAGGGAATGAAGAGCAATGTGTATGTGGATATGTACGTAGTTGAGTGTTATGTTGTGGGGATGAATGTAGTGAGGGCGGAGAGCAATGTGTATGTGGATATGTATATGGCTGAGCGTTGTGTTGAGGGGATGAATGTTGTGATGGCTAGCAGTGGCAATGATGTGAATGTAGACATCTTTAACTTAGGTTCTTATGATACAAGTATTCTCAGCGGCTGACAATGGAATGATTAAATACAGCATAAAGAAAATGAAATACTACGTGATATATCCTAGCAAGGAGGTTAGTTTCACTATATGACAACAATCATATGCAATGCACAACATAATTCAGTTACAGTGGATATCATATATAACAGGCCTGGCAATAACAAGGATCCGGTAATAACAGGGATGTTTTAAATCCCCTTTTTTTCCTGCTCTTTGTCTCTAATATAAGTTAACGGCAATAACAGGGCCTCATCGGAGCCCAATCGGTTATAGCAAGGACAAAGGCTCGCTAACAATGTGTACAAAAGTAAGAGAGAGAGAGAGAGAGTACCGCAGTGATGGAGCAAGCCCACGCAAGCCACGCCACTGCAAGCACACACAGCGGGTGAAGCAAGAGACGGCTGAGATGTGCTGTAGATTTCGATCTAGCCCTATGCCTAGCCACACCCACACATAATGTGTCATTCGCAGGCCTCCCACATGGCCACAAGAGAAGGGCATATGCCTGAAGCCAACTGGTTCCCACTTGTGCCTCTCATTGAAAAAAAAAAAAGAAAGAAAGAAAAAAATTAATTAACACACAACCC